AACAATGAAGATAAATCGTGAATTGCTCTGGTGAATGGTCAAGAAGAAGCTGAATCTTCAGTCTTTCAAGTTCCATAATGTTCAATTTCTCACTGAACAAGCAAAGAAGACTAGGCTGCAACAATTGCAGTCACTATTCTGTCGGTTTGCAAATGGCAGCCATTGCAATATCCTCTTTTCTGATGAGAAGCTCTTCACACAATTGAGCAATCCTTTAACTCTCAAAAAGACCGAGTATGGGCAGGAGAGTCATCAGGCAGCTCTCCAGACCTCTGTTGTGTTACTCACACTCAGATGCCAGCTTCTGTGATGATGCAGGCTGATATCACTGCAGAGATGCGCGTACCACTGGTTTTTCGTGCCTTCTGGTATAAAGATAAACATGACTGTCTACCATGACCTCATTTTGAAGGGTGCAGTAAAGCCCTGGGCCAAACAGCACTTTGGGAACCACAAATAGACTTTTCAACAGGTCTCTGTGCCAGCCCACAAGGGAAAGATCACCCAGGCCTTCTGCAAAGCAGAATTCCCTGACTTCCATCACCTCAGCAAAATGGCCTCCATATAGTATAGTCTCAACCTGAACTCGTTGGACTTTTCTTTGTGGAACATCTTGGAGAACAAAGCTTATGCTACTCTACATGCATCGATCTAGTCCATGGAGCATGCCCTTCAAACGGAATGGCTCAAAATCTCCAAAGAAATGTTGCATGCTGCAGTTGATGCTTTTCAAAAAAGACTTCGCAATTGTATGAAAGCAAAAGGTGACCATTTTGAATGACTTTGCTGATATTATCTGTTGAAACAGTTGCAGTTTCTAATAGTGTTGTCCCCATTTGTTAGCTGTTTAAAGAAATTATAAAATGTTGAGGAAACTGAGTATACAGAACCTTTGTGTCACCCTGTATAGTATGTACTGAAACAGGGAAGGCCAAACTTCCTGATCTTATCTGATCTTATGAGCTACATAAAATCTTCTTATGGTCAAGAGCCACAAGACACACCACTTTACACATGCATTGCCAAGACCCTAAAGAATGCATGTGTAGGCTCTAGTCTGGACCATTTCACTGCAAGCCACACTTGCCACAACTGCCCAGGAGCCATTGTTTGACCACCCTTGCACTATGAAATACTCAACAGTAATGAGAACCCATGATGTCCCATCAGTCTGGAAACATTGGCACATAGATACACACTGACTACTGTTCCATTTTCAGGAACTTGTTTGTGTCTCTTGTTTCCCCAGCTACATTGTGACTTAGCATCTATTCACTCACCTTCAGTAGTGGCATTTATTCAACTTATATCATTTGAAATATTAAGGAAATACACTGCCCATGGTTTCAGACTCAAGGGGTACTATGCATTACCCCCCAGTATGGCACCACCCTTGCTTATCACCAATCTCTTCATGTGTAAAAATCCCCCCATAAGCTCCCACATTAGGGAGTACACAGGGTGTTCATATTTAAATGCAACACGGGGAAATTTTTGCCACCTGTTTGTGGAGTTCAGTGTGTGCCTTACAGCTCACCAGGTTGCATATCGGAAGGATGAAACCTATCACTGGTGTGTTTCCTTGCACATAGGCAACCCAGTGGGTCTTATAGTGTTCACCAACCTCCACCTACAGGTGGCAAAATATTCCCTATGTTGTGTTTAAATACAAACACTCTATAGTTAACATAACAGCACCACCCTCATAACATCAAAATCAGCAACAACCAGCAGCGGCATCCAATCAAGGATTGATTGTACATTAGTTTCTGATCACTCACTAAACATTTCTTGAATTCTTCTCTAGATCCAATCTACCTGTTGATAACAGCTTATGCATTGTTATTATTCTATATTATTTTCAAAGGTCTTCCAAGCATCAATGCCATTTGTGATGTGGAAACTAACCTGAGGGGAGGTGTTGCTTTCATCATCATCATCGTCTGAGGTGTCATTGGGATCTTTCTCCATCCACTGAGCAATGAGTTTTTGAAGGACACCCACCTCTTGGTCTCGATACAAGATGGCCACCAACTCAGCCACTGACACACACCATGTTCCCTTAAAAAAAATATATATATATATATATATATAAATGATATTGAAAATTGCATTATATCTAATATCAGGGTCCCATATATTCAGATACCAAACACAATTGGGTAAGGTGGGGAAAGTGCACACTAAAAATGAGACTTCCAGGAGGAAGTCTCTCATGTCAAGCATTTGAAGCAGAAAAAGGCAAGTGAGACAACCAAATGCCAACTAGTCAAGAGATTATTGATGCAGATTCCCCATGACCCAGTGACCATTGCACCAAAGTAGTGTGTGGGGTATACATTTTCCCAGGGTGTTGGGACAAACATATTTCTCCCCACTCAAATCATTCCCTCAAGACCAATGCATAGATGTGATGAATCTACATAATCCATTCATTCACATTCAAGGTCGTCCATGACACTATGTCACAGATGAAGCAGGCCTAGCAGAGTCCTTGAATTTTCTCAACCCTGGACAATGGACTAACAAGCGTGGCTGTAGGGATCTGAGCCTCTCTTGACACTTATATGCAACATGGTCATTCCACTTCATATGACACCAAACAACTGATTTGCTGGTCATCTTGCACCAAGAGACTCTTTCTCAGAGGACCTTACGTACACAGTCTGAACATCTTTGGACACCTGACTTCTAGAGAGGTAGGTCTCTTCGAACTGGACTTTAAGAAGTGTTTACCGGTATTAGGTGTAGTATCCTACCGTTCACTGACCAGCAACCTGACCTACAATGGGTATTCAAAGAGTTTCTGACAAGCAGCACTTCCAGTTGTTATACACCATTCTTTTTTTCCTAGTGGAAAAAGAATGTTTTTGAAGGTGATTGGCAAAGTTACAGGCTCACAAGTCCCATCCAACTGTCAAACTCCCTATGCCAGGTGTACTTGTGGATATCCCTGCACTTGAAGGTGCTGGTAATGGTCAGGCCATTGCTAACACAAAAGTCTTGTAACTTTCATTCATACACAATCATAAAAACTAGTTCAGCATTTAGGATCATATATATGGTCCCATCCACCTTTTTGTGGAAGGCATCAGTCAGAATCATTGATTAGCCCATAGACTTGGACAGTTGCCGATACCCTGATGCACCCCACTATGAAAGGCATTGGAAAGACTTGCTCATTCATTGGTTTCCAAAGTTAGTGTGATAGTCTGTCCGTCCCTGATTACTCATAGGAGTGAAGACGGATCCGTTTATAACAAACCAATTCTCATGAGGATCTCCCAAGTAAGTACCAGATTCCACGACCTTGGGTACGGAAATCTTTTGGTCAATGCAAGGGCAATTACATCTAGTCATTGCTGACTGGCCTCTTCAATGGGGACTGGCTCCTTCCCACTGAGTGTAAGCATGTTTTGAGTCCCAATATCCATAGTCCATTGCCTATGTTGTTTAACCCTTGGTTTTGCCCTAGGTCTATCCAGAAGGAATCAAGTCAAATATATGTTGCAGCCAGTGGTAAACCAACATAGGATTTGATGGGGCACAACAGAGCAATGTACCTGAAACCAGGAGGATTGTCTGGCGATAATAGCCAACATATCAATAGTTACCCCAGAGGCACAAAGACTATAGCAGTCCTGATTATCCTGGGCAGCAACTGATCCAGTATGGAACTCCTGCGCTGAACTCATCAAGGTTCATCTTGGTTCATCTTGATCGCCCTCAACAGAAGTCCTCTTGTCTCAGTAACACTTGCCTATGGCTCTAAGAACTATCTGAGTTCATCCTTGCAAAATGAATACACAAAACCACTGAGGCCCTGGATACAAATGTCCTTGCCATAAGGAGACTGTGATTGTGCATAGCAAAATTGTCTAAGAAGGCCTTGATTTACCTAGGGTGGTGAAAAAAAAAAAAGCATCCTACTTCTTGATGCTTTGAGACCTAAAAAAATTTCCAATTAAATTCATAATTTAATTGGAAACTCTGATTAGGCCCTTCCCTCCCAAGTCCACACCAGCACATCAAGACCAACCTTCTCAGCCGAGGCCTGAATACACTGCACAGTCAAGAATAACCAGGCAAGAACACAGTCACAAAAAGTAGACTTAATGGTGCCAAAGGACAGATATCTTTTGAGCAGTGCTAAAGCCACAACAGCCTGATATGCAAAAAAGCTGAATTTTCTTACTGGAGTTTGAATGACTGTATCTTAGTATTCAACCTACCTAGACACCTTAAACTTTCAGAAAACACAATTTAGTGTTTTCTCTGTAATCCAAAAAGTATAAGCTTGGCATTTCTACTGTCAGTTTTATGAAGTGTCAAATAGGCATCTTGTGTCTATGCTGTGCAGCCAGAAATAGCTGCACATGAAAAAACTTGAGATCAAAAGAAACCCCTATTTTTCTTATTCAGATCTTTCCTCTCATTAATACTTTTTTGCTCTCATTTGGGTCTGCCTAGATGTATACTCTTATGTTGTAGCCATGTTTGCCAAATTCTGCAGTCTATTAAAAAAAACTTAAGAAACCCTCAATATGTAAATCCCACTTCTCTGAGCAAACCAAAAGAGAGTTCTTTTATGGAAAGCAATAAAAAGCAATTACACAAGTGACTTCAAAAGCCAAAGGTGGACACTGAAGCATGAAATAGAGCATATATACAGTTCTAATTCAGGATTTGGGATGAGTTCATAATCTGAAGGTCATGAACAAAAATGAAGGTTACATCAGCTTTATCAAGGCAGAATAATTTATTTTATGAAAATGCTGAAAAAAGGATATGCAATACTTATAATTTGAAA